AGAAAGGAAAAAAGAACTACTAAACTTCGCGACAGCATGGATGGAACTGGAGAGCATTATGCTAAACGAAATAAGCCAGGGGGCGAAAGACAAATACCATATGATCTCACCTATAAGCGGAACCTAACCAACAATACAAAGATGCAAGGAAAATATGACCAGCAACACTGAAAGGAAAAGAAATCAACAGAGACAAGAGGGAAGAAGGGAGGGGCAGGCAGGGAAAGGGAAGGGAAGGGGAAAGTCAAGGAACATATAGCAAGGACTCATGGACAAAACCAAAGGGGAAGAGCTGAGGGAGGGAAGGAGGGAGAGGGCAAGGGAAAGTGGTGGGGGGGAGGCAGAGGCAAATGTATTAAGAAAGAAAGAAAAGAAAAGAAAGAAGAAAAAGAAAGAAAGAAAGAAAGAAAGAAAGAAAGAAAGAAAGAAAGAAAGAAAGAAAGAAAGAAAGAAAGAAAGAGAGAGAGAGAGAAAGAAAGAGAGAGAGAGAGAGAAGAGAGAGAGAGAGAGAGAGAGAGAGAGAGAGAGAGAGAGAGAAAGAAAGAAAGAAAGAAAGAAAGAAAGAGAGAGAGAGAGAGGGAGAGAGAGAAAGAGAGAAGAAAAGAAAGAAAGAAAGAAAGAGAGAAAGAAAGAAAGAAAGAAAGAAAGAAAGAAAGAAAGAAAGAAAGAAAGAAAGAAAGAAAGAAAGAAAGAAAGAAAGAAAGAAAGAAAGAAAGAAAAGAAAAGAAAGAAAAAAAATGTATCATCAACCTGCCAGGTGGCTCAGTTGGTTGGCTTCATCCTGTACACCAAAATGCTGTGGGTTCAGTTCCTGGTCAAGGCACACAAACTGGGTGTGGGTTCCAAGGCATGTATGGGAGACAACTGATGGATGTTTCTCTCTTTCTCTCTCTTCTCCTCCTTCCTTTGAAATCAATAAATACATCTTTGAGTGAATATTTAAAAAATATCATCAATTATACATTACTATTAGGTGATACATTTCATTTTCTTAATATTTAGATGCCATTAGTAGTTGGATTTTCTTAAAAAGATTTTATTTATTTTTAGAGAGGGGGAAGGGAGGGAGAAAGAGAGGGAAACATTAATGTGTGGTTGCCTCTTGCACACCCCCTACTGGGGACTTGGTCTGCAACCCAGGCATGTGCCCTGACTGGGAATGAACTGGCGAACGTTAGGTTCTCAGGTGGGCGATCAATCCACTGAACCACACCAGCCAGGGTGGTAGTTGGGTTTTTTAATGAGTAAAAAGTTGTAGACATCAGTGTTTAATGTAAACACTACGAAGATAAAAATGCCATGGTTCCTATATTTGTGAAACTTCTAAAATCTTTAATATACTTTGTATAAAATGTGGTGGATATTTTTCTCTCAAAGATACAAAATTATTTTCTTTAGTTTAATTGTTCTCTTTCTGTTATTGTTTTTTATTTAGGGGTTAGAGAAGTAGGAAAAGGAAGAAAACTCTAGAGGAAAAATGATAACATAACATAAAAATTTATTTACTGCTACCTTCTGCTATCTCAAATCAACACTATTTCCTTAAGGAAATAGACAGTGTTACTGATAGGCATGGACCATTGACCCAAGAGTGGTGGGTACTGTTCAACTACCATCTCTTTCTGCAACAGGTTTCTCAGTTTGACATTATTGACACTTTGGACAGGATATCCATTTTTGCAGGGGTGTCTTGTGGACTGCACCATATTTAGCAGCAGCACCTCTGGACTCTACATACTAGATGTATATACTTTCCCAAGTTGTGACAACTAAAAATGTCTTCAGATGTTGCTATATGCCCCTGTGGGGGCAAAATCCCTCTGGTTGAGAACCACTGGTCTGCAGGTTAGCAATCATATCTGTAATGTGGTCTTGTTATGTATCAAGGCCCTAGGCATCAAGCAGTGTTATCTGTTTCAAAGCATCCACTTACAATCTATGTCTGGATGACATATAAGACTTGTTTACTCCATCAGTTCAGTCCTAAAAACACCTATGTTGAACTAGATAAGAAGGCAACTTAAGTGATACCATGAATCTAGGAGTGCTACCTCTCCAGGTCCTCCCTGGCCATCATCACACAATCACCACAGTGGGAGTAGTCATAGCAATTAGTTAAGAAAATATTTCATTTCAAAGTTTCAAAAGGAAGGTTCCAAGATAGCGGTTTTCTTTGTAAGATAGAAAGTGACAGAACCTTAAGGCACAAGCTATGATTAAAAAACATAATAATGAACACAGATATGGTTAACCCTGTATATGAGGGGCACAGCCTACAAATGCAGTAGTGGTTGTAAGTGGGCAGCCACTCCAAGTGGTATCTACTTTATGACCTCATGATATAAGGAGCTATCACAATTTTTTGCAGCTCACATACGGTCTAAAAAGAAGAATTACATTAATTGTTAAATATATAGTGTTTAGTTTTATTACTTTTTAGGTTCTCTGAAATGTGTATATTTATTATCTGAATCAGGAACCATCTATTACCTAATTTTCTTTAATATGAAAAACTCCCCGAAGAAACTCAGTTTACGTTGAAATACACTTCTATTTCTTCTGTTTCTGACAGCATGCTATTTTAGCTACCTGAATGAGTAACCTGCTGAACACAAGAAAGACACTGGGTTAAAAAAACAATTAAATACATTGATGAACTGGTAGGAAATGAAGTAATTCTCGGGGCTGAGGGAGGGGAGCAGGAAGAAAAATGAGAATATTCTGAGAAAGAATAGAGAGCCAATGTGGACTCTTGCTACGAGATTATCTGTCAAATTCTATACACCTAGAGCTCCTGCTTTGATAGCTGTGCAGTTGCCAGGGTCAGGAAATAAAGCCAAGTGCCCATCTAAAAGGAGGAGTTTATTAGGAAACAAAAATCTGGGGCCACAAAGGGCTACATTCCCAGTGTAAAGGTGAATGTGAAAAAACATGATGCACAAGTCAGTCAGGAAAAATGCATGTCTTGACCTTGGAACCCAGGAAACAAAGAAAAAGTCTCCTCTGAAAATATATAAAAAGCTATTTGGGCTTAAGGCCTAAAATTTAATTTACCTATGCAATCCAATAAATCTCAAATGAAGAATTTAATCTGGTCCTAGGGTTTTTGGGGCTTCCAAGCAACTTGCAGAAGGAAATTCTAATACGCCCTAGAAAAAACTCACTTTCAATTCAGATCTCAAGGAATCCCCATAGTTACAACTCCAGAAATATGAGTGCAGAGTCAAAAATCACAAGCCACAAGGAAACAGGCACCATGAGAAAAAGCTCGAAGAAATAACAGGGAGCACAAAAGACCCATACAATTTTCAGTACTGGATTTAACAGACAGAGTATAGACTGTGCTTAATTTGTGTAAAAAAAAAAAATTAGAAAATGGCTTGAAAAGAAAACCAAATAGAATTTCTAAAAATGAAAAGTATTTGAAGATTTCGGGGTGAACCTTATAAAAAAAGATTAGGAGAAATGGAGGATAAAGTAAGATATCAGTCTTAGAGATGTCCTATAGATGTTCTAAGGGATAATGAAAATGGGAAATAAGCAACAATAAAGATAAAATGGCCGAGAATTTCCTAGAATTGTTGCAGGACAATAATCCTGAGATTCAAGAATCCTCTGAAATGGTTACTTTTTTTTTTTTTTTTTTTAAGGAAAGAGAGGAAGTTAGGGAGAGAAGCAGGTTAGAGAGAGAAGGAAGGAAGGAAGGGAGGGAGGCTGGTTTGGGGTTGCGGGGGAGGAATCATACCTAGATATATTGCTTTGAAACTGTGAAAATAAAGACTTAAAAGCAGCCAGAAAATCGAAGGACAGGAAGGGAGGAAGACTGAAGAAACTAGACTTTAGATAAAAGTACAGAAAATAAATTAGGTAATTGTTATTAGGATTGAAGTAAATATTCCTTCGGGATTCATGAATATGACCGGTAAGTATCACAATTAAAAACAGTGAGAAAGTCTTCAGTACAGGGACGTCCGGGAAGCAGGAAACACAAATTCATAAAGTTTCGACTCCAATGAAATATATAAATGTTAACTTTAAGTATGAACTAAAAACAAATTTCCCCCAAACACGAGGAAAACAGACAAGTGGAAAATAACAGCCAATCTTTATTGCGTGCAAACGTTTTCAAGAGAAAAACTGAGCAGAGGGAATATTACGGGTGAACATTTGAAAGGTGGAGTCACAAGTCAGAAGACAACGCACAGGACTAGAGACGTCTAATACAGGCTATTTACTAAACATAGTTATTCCTAGCACAGCCCGTTAGAGATTAAGGATCCGTCCGTTATCTCTACTTGCTATTTTTTTTCTTTTTTTGCGGGTGTACTTTGTACATATAGATCAATTTCATTAGAATGATGAAACGCACCTCAAAATATGAGATACTATTGATAAGTACTTGTGCATCTTTTAATATGGAAAATAACCACTCCATATTTAATATAAACTATTAAGTTACATGGAAGCCAATCAGACGTCCCATTTATATTTTTAGGAGTGGATACTAAGATAAATTCCAGCAGCAAGTTCTGTTTTAAAGAGTTCAAATGGTCCGAACTTTGCTGGATATTCTAGCATTAGAACCTTGGCTATTTTTCTCTCATTACGTGAGAGCCATGACTCACAAATACCGGGGAATGTAATCACAGCAGTAAGAACAGGTGAAAAGTTGTTCCTAGTTGTTACGTAGGCGCATACAATTCCCGTCATTCCCTGGACAAAAATCAACAAATAAACAGAGGCACCGCATTTCAGATTCCGTTGCGCAGCCCGCCCCATGGCGCCTGGTATTTGTAGTTTCCCATTGAAAAACTGCCAGGGTATTAACTCTTGCTGCAAAGGGGATAGAACTACACTTCCCACAACGGCGCGGGAACGGGCTCCGGTCGGCTTACGTCACTACTTCAGCTAACCAATGACAGCTCCGGGCGGCAGTGAGGCAAGCGCCGTCAGGCGCCAAAGTGGGGGTTTTTTTTCTTTTTTTTTTTTTTTTTTCCGCCGAAGCCGAGCGGGCGCTGCTAGCAGAGGCGCCATATTGGAAGGGACAAAACTCCGGCGACAGCGAGTGACACAAATAAACCCCTGGATCCCCTCGTCCTCTAAGAGCTAAAGGCCGCGATGTTGTACCTAGAGGACTATCTCGAAAGTAAGTGGGCGGCGCTGGCGGGGACACTCTGTGGGACCTGCGGGCGGGCGAGAGCGCGAGTGGACGGGCTGGCGGGATGGCGGGAGGGAGGGGGTAAGCGGGGGATGTTTCTTTCTCACGGTAACTGGCAGCCTCGCTCTGGGTTGCCGGCTCCTTCGACCCCCCCGACGCACGCACGCACGCAGTGACGTAGGCGCGTACTTTCGCCGTTGGCCCCGCCCCTCTGACGGACTCTCCCTTTGACAGTGATTGAGCAGCTTCCAATGGACCTGCGGGACCGCTTCACGGAGATGCGCGAGATGGACCTGCAGGTGCAGAGTAAGTCGGCGCGTTTGCCCTTGTTCGCTGCACACGTTCAGTGCCAGACTTGACATCGACTCCAGCGCTTCTACTATTTGACTCTCCTCCTGCTCACTGACTAGTGCATAGGAATTGTCAAAAAGAATTCTCAATGCCAAATCCTGCTTCTTGCCTCCCACTCTACTTTTCTCCTGGCTTTGACAAGAGGAGACATTAGAGCGCCTGTGTGATTTTTTTCTTGAATTTGGGACTGCGCAATAGAATTTCCTATACCCTCCTTGAGAATGTAGATGCATGTTTTAGTGCACATCAGCATAAATGTTAAAATTTTGACTTTGAGCCTTTATGTATTGAACATAGATTTTAACATTTATGCTTTTGTTGAAGTTCATCCTAATCAAAATTTTTCAAGAGCAGAAAACATAGAAGCACGGATTATATGTCGGTATTTTTTCAAGTTTGAAAAATTACACATCATAGAATATATTCTTAGTTGTCAACAGCATGGTATTTTGTTAGTCAAAATGAATGAGGGAAATAGCTTGTTGTCTACCATAATAAAATTTTTGGTTCTTCCTCTGTTAGTGATAGCTTGGTAATTTGGTGACTTTTTTCCCAAAATTAACCTTGCTCATTCATAGAGCAGTATTTTGTTTATATGCTTTTTTTTTCTGTGAAGTTTATTAAAAGGGTTTATGATTCAGAAAGTACCTTTGGAGATAAGGTTAAATATTTAGAGCAAAATTACACTTAAAAGAAAGCAGTGCTCGGACTGGTGTTAGCTCTGTGGTTTCGCATCATCCTGCAGACCAAAGGGTTGCAGGTTCCATTCCGGTCAGGGTACATGCCAGGGCTGTGGGCCAGGTACTGGCTTGAGGGTATAGAGAGGCAACCTATCGGCAATCAGTGTTTCTCTCGCACATTGATGTTTCTCTCCTCTTTCTCCCTCCCCTCCTGTCTCTTTAAAAATAAATAATATCTTTAAAAAACAAACAAAAAAACAATGATGAGTACCAAATTTATGTTCATTATGTTTTGAGAGAACCTCACAAACCTTCCCCCTCTGTGAAGTGAATATAAAATGTTTACTATTTCATATAGATACTATATTAAAAATTAAGAATGTGAAATAAATTATATGATACACAATGAAAATAAATAATCACGTGTACCTTTTTTGGCCATGTGTCTCTTCCTTTGGAGAAATGTAGATACTCTTTAGTAAAATTACTTAAATAATATTAATGACTAGCCTTCATGTGGTATATCTGCAGATGATATTTTTCTTAATCTCATTTATTCAAGCTGTATGTAGGCTATACATAAAATGTTTCTAGCGGTGCCAAATTTTCTTCTTACAAAAGTACGGGTGAAGGAAGATCTGGATTTTAGGGGGTGATAGGGAGGAAAGGAGTATCATGAAAAGAGATCAGAGAACCAGACATTCCAGACTGTAGGAGTCTTGAGGTGGCTAAGAATCTGTTCTTTTCTCTGCCTTGCTTTTCTGCCCCACCACCACCACACACATTTCCATGCCCATTATTTAGGAATATGGTCTTCTCAGGCTATTGTCAGTTTCATATGGCATAGAATACAGGTGATATATGAAAGCCACCCTCTTTTATTCAGTGTATGGTGGTATGGAAGTCTGAATTACGTGTTTCTCCAGCCTGCTCACAAAGTTTATTTTAACTTTAACATACTCGAAATGCTAAAGATTTGCTAAAGTAGTAGTGTTGTCTATAGGTTCTCGAGCACAGATTTTGATGTCAGATCTGAGTTCATTTTAGGGCTTTACTGACTTATCCATTGACCTTGACCTCAATACCACTTCTGAGGGGTTTTCATTGTCTATAAAATGAAAATCATCTGAGATTAAAATAATACAGATAAATTAGAACATATAGTACCTGATACAAAGTAGGCATTGAATAAGGAGTTGCTTATCTTATGCTTTTTTATTATCATTACAAATTTTAAATTCTCTCGTAATTTGGACTTGCATTATACAAATTAGAGGTCTTTATACTTGTATTTTTTAAATAATAATTAGAATTTTCTAAAGTTAATAGGTATCATGGATTCACAAAACAGACCTGGTTAGCAAATAAATTTGGAAATGCTTATTTAAACAAAGGAAAATTCTTTTAAAAAATTAACTGTGAGACCTCTCACTGAAAATCTCCAGAATTTTGAAGGATATAGTAAAAAAGTTTTCTTAAATTTACAAGGCAACGAAATCCCTTTTGTTTATTTTTCCTTTTTTGGCAGTCATGAAATGAGGTGGCTATTCATGACACTCATTTAGAAAAAAATTTACCTAGAATAAATAATACAATCTATTTAGTGAACAAGTGATTGTATTTACTGCTTATAATCATGATATGAGGTGATCATGTGTTCAAGGCCATATGGTAATAACTTTTTGTCACTTTTTCTTAATAAAAGAAATGTGAAAATATCTACAGATACTTATAATAAGAAACCGAGTTTTGACACGTTTGGCTGATTTAATAGCATTAGCTTTTGACCTCAAGGCTGTACTGTGCAGAAACTATAGTACAGAGCTTGTGTTGTTGACTACTTTGACTATTGGAAATAGTTTTGAAATAACAAAAATAAGTTATCAGTAGGGAAAATTGTAACTTTATTTTTTTACTAAGGTAATTAAGGTATGATACATTTACAGAATTAACACATGACATATTTAAGTTAGTGGCCAAGTGAAGGAGTGTATGTTGTCAGATACCCGTTTTTGTTTTTTTCCCAAATCAAGAATGTATATTCATTGTATGAATTTAGCCATCTAAATATGAAATGTTTTTATTATGTTATAGATGCAATGGATCAACTAGAACAAAGAGTCAGTGAATTCTTTATGAATGCAAAGAAAAATAAACCAGAGTGGAGAGAAGAACAAATGGCATCCATCAAAAAAGTATGTTCAAAACTCTGGGATTTGTTAGTTAAAAGTGGGACTCTCTCAGAAAGATATTTTAAAATTAAATAGTTTTCTCGATATCAAAATGAGGGGAAATGTTCATGCGCTCCTTAGAATTTAAATAATTTGTTGTGTTTTAGAGCTTCAGGTGTAGGAATTTTTAATCATTGAAACACTTTGGTAATGTAAAAATTATTTCATAATTAGTGACTTTTACTAGAGAATCACAGAACCATAAAAAACACATTTTTAATTAGCAAACCTTGAAGCATAGTTTTTATATTGTTAGATACCTAAATAGGTGGAATCACAGCACAGAATCTTAGCAGCTGAAAGGATCCTTAAAAAATCTTTTAGTTTAAAATTCTAAATTCATACATGAGTTAGGCCTAGAAATAAAGAAGCCTTTGAGTTTTTAATTAGTTATATAGTACTTAAAGTTATCTTTCAGATTAGAATGGATATCAGCTCTCCCTCTAAGGTTTGCTTTAAAGGTATGATCTAGTTTTTCTGGGATACAGTAGAAGAACTACTTAAGACACCTGGCTTTGGTCATGACTGCCATTTAGTTCTCTGACATTGGACGGGTCCTTTAATATTTCGTAGTAATAATGGCTCCCCTAGCCCCAACCTTCATAGAGTTGTTCAAGAATCAACTAATAAGTTTCATACCTACAAGGTTAGAGTATTTGTATCATTTATTTTACCACATGGGAGGTGATAATTTCTGTTAAGAGAAAAAATTTTGGAATTTATGACAATTGGTCCTGGTTTAGGGGATACCTGGAGATGTAGGTTTGTTTGAATATAGACATAACATATATACATACTAAAATCATTTGTTATGCCTTTTACCTATTGTTTTTGGTGTAATACAGCTTGGATATACTCTGAAAAGTCTAATACTCCATGGAAATTTATAGAATCCACTTTTTTAAAACAATTTCATTTATACTGAGGAGAAATCTAAAGTATAGGTTAAATTGTATGAATTAATATCTAACTTAAAATGAGAGTTGTAGAACAATTGGAAAATAGGGACATGCAGGACATATTTTTTTTTTTTCAGTAGTTGTACTTTCATTAAGAAGTTTTAGGGAAAGGGGAGAGGGGGCAAGGGAAAGTAGTGGGGGGAAGGCAGAGATAAGTGTATTTGAAAAAATAAATAAGTTAAAAAAAAATTAAACCAAAAAAAAAAAGTGTTAAAAGTGGAGACCTTAAATGTTCTTTACAAATTAGACAAATCTTAAAAAAAAATTTTTTTTTAAAGATTATTCGTTAGCTCATATTTTACTAGCATGGAGGCTAGACTTGGAATAGTATTTATTTTATTTATATCTTTTCTAGGAATTCTGAATATCTTTCTTGGATTCTTGGCCATTGTGCATAATTTCTAATCCTATCTTATCTCCACCCTTTCCTTAACTGAATTTTTATTGCTTATTTAGGATGACTGAGTGATAACAAGGTATGATAATTTTAAGATTATTAATTTATTCTTGAAATGAAAATGTTTTTATTTAGGATTACTATAAAGCTTTGGAAGATGCAGATGAGAAGGTACAGTTGGCAAACCAGATATATGATTTGGTAAGTAAAATTAATGTGTATGCTATGCCATAAATACTTGAATTATGGTTATTTTAAATTTTATTGGCTTATTTAAATGTAATGGGAAGAACAGACTAAACATTTAACATTAAAACATTCAATTTGAAAGTTCAGTGTCTATTTGGTTTCTTTGTGGAAGAGTCCACAGTGTTAATTTATAGGTCAAGATCCTTACATTTTAAACAAATCTACATTGCTTTCGAATTGTATTTGATGTTTTTATATATATATGTATATATATATATATATATATATATAAATAAAAGCAAGAATTGGTTTTAGCTTTATTTTAGTAATCTTTCTTAAGGTAGTATGTTTACTTTTGTGATAAATCGTATTGAGATTGTTTCTGTGGTAAAATACACATAATACTACTGTGTTGACAAGAGTTTTTTGTAGTTCAGTTAGAATGAAGAAGAGAATCACTTGAATCAGTGTTAATAGATCGTTCTCAACTGTATTCAGTGATGTCAGTAGACAGTACACAACTGGCTTAGGTGTCAAAAATGGGAAACAGTAGATTAAATAAACTTTTTAAAACATTTTTTGCAACAGCAATGCTTGTAAAAGATTGAAATCACTAAGAAGGCAGGTATATGCAATATTTCTTAAGCTGGTATAAATATGGTGCTCTTTTTTGTGTAAAGCATCTTCTAAATTAGCTGCTTTAAGTAATACTCATTTCTGGTTTTGCCTCAAAGCAAGTTGAAGCTGAAAACGAATGTTCACTTTCGGTGAACTTTACCATTTAGATTTTATATCTTATTTTATATTCTTGTCTGGACACAATGTTACTACTGAACAAGTACATGTAAATTTAGTTATCATTGGTAAGCAATACACAGAAAAAAGATGCACACCATATATAGTGTACATTGTAAATACTTATACAAAACTAGAAAACATTTTTCTAAAGCCATAGAAAAATGTTTAGTTGTTTTTATATAGTGAAAATATTTTATGGTTTTAATAACCTAGGCTTGTTTTTCTTACAATTATTCTGAAAACTAAATTTTTTCAGAATAGGTAGAGGGGGCGTAGCTTAATTTATTGTGGAATGAAAAAAAGTTCTTAATTGTTTTCATCTTGAATTAATGTTTATAAACATAGAAAAAGACATTGTTATTTGAACCTAATTTCTTTTAGTAACATTCTTCCTCATATTTAATGACTGTATGTGCCAATCTTTATTTAAAGACTACTTGCTTTTTAAATCATATTAGGTCTTTGGTTCTATTCTGTTTTGTTTATATTTTGTTATTTTGATTTTTTTCATACCTTTATTAAAAATAATTCATGCATTTAGAAAAATATGTATGAGATAAATATATACTTTTTAAATGTGTGTGTTTGCACGTGCATCCATCTGTCACTAACGAACCAAAGTGTTCATCCATTCTGTGCTTGATAAAATGGAGATTACCTGGGTATAATAGAGGAATAAAGAGAAAATACTACAAATAGCTCCTGTCTATAAGGGAGACTAGTTGGGAAGACATGTCCACAAAAGTAAAGTGAAGAGCCTGAATAGAAACATATAACAAATAAAAATTAAGGCAGTTGAGTATTAAGGCATATCTAGTAAAAGACTGAACTAAGCTGTAAGGAATTACTGTTGATTTCTTGGAGGGTATGAGAAAAGTTTTGAATAGAATTTATTCAGAGGCTCAGGGGTCTGGATTAGGTATTATATTAAGGGGAGAGCATTTCACTCAGAAAGAAAGTGAAAATTAAATTCTTTGTGGGGGATAGATTATTTACCTAGAGAGTGAGGTAATAAAAGGTGATATAATTTTGTAGAATGTAATAAAAACAGGTGTTATAACAGATCTATACAGACATGAGCTCAGCTGCTTCATTGATAGCAGGACTTTGGAAAAGCTATTTAATCCTGGAATCTCATTTTCCTTACCTGTGAAATAGCACTGTTAATTTGTACCGTAAAGGAGGAGTTACCACATGTATATGTGATGCTCTAAGCTTAGCAGATAGGCACTCACTCGCTCCTTCTTTAAATCCTCATTCCATCTCATTTCTCTAACTGACATTTTTTCTTCCTTGAAGCCACTTCTTTTTCAGCTCTGGCATGGTGAACCTGTTTTTTTCCCCTTCCCCCAGTATTCCTAGCAGTGCCTTTTTTATTCTCTTTATTCTTTTCCTCGCCTTCGCTTTTCTCCTTCCTCCTCTGCTCCCTTTTCACTTTTTTTTCCCTTCTCTCCTTCCTTTTTTAATATTCCATTGCTGCTTCAGGTGACCATCATATTCGTAATATAAAACTCCATTCTTCTTTGAGACTTAATACTAATCATCAGTATTATCCTCTCACCTTTGTGGCCTTTCTCTTCCTTCCTGAATATCACTTGTAATGGTGGCTGTTCCTCAGGGTTTGGTGTTTGACCTATACTGTGTCCTACTCTATTCAGGTTCTTTCTTAGTATGTAGAGGTAACTCTCTTCCCATCAGTTCCCCCAATTCCAGACACCAGGAAGACCAAATGCCACATGGTGAAGACTTGTTTATATTACTGTAAATTAAAAATGCCTGTTTTTTCTCCTTTGTGCCCACTCACACCACCCAAGTTGAAAAACATTCCTCCATTACCTTTCCAAGTGTTCACTTAGTTTTGACAATTATACATTAATTATTCCTTAAGCTCATATTTTTCTTCTAAGTCTGTTCATCTTATCTGAGAGTTCCTAGGCCCTGGGACTCCATGTATTAAATCTTAATTCATAGCCTCTCCTTTTTCTCCTCTCACTCTCTCTCAGTGCCCACCCCGCTGCACACACTCATTTTCTTTCTTAATCTCAGGAGAAACACCGACCTCCTAGTCATTCACATCGGAATAACTGAAAGCTTCCCTCCATCTCCCTAACTTCCCCACATTCAGTCAATCACCATGTTTTGTTCATTTTACTCTCTAAGTATGTCCATTTCATCATCCCTTCCTCTCCACTTCAGCCTGCCATTGTCCAAGTACTTTAAAAAGTAAAAATTGGCGAGGAGTGCCTTTCCTTTTCATGTTTTCTTGGTAAACTTTATCTTTATAATCCTACACAGGCATTGCTTATTTATTAAAGTCATCTAAATAATCTTGGTATTTGTGTCATTTATATCTAGAAAAGATTTAACAGCTTCTAACAAAAAAGCTGCACAGTAGTGATTTAAACAAAAGATGTATTTTTTTTTTTTTTTTGTATTTCATGTAAAATGACTGTTAGAGGAGATAAACCAGGGCTTGCATGGCAGCTCCAGCATCATCAGTGTCCCAGGCTGTTTCCAGTCTGTTCCCCCTTCTAGGCAAGTAGAAGAACTGCAGTAGGGGATTACTCAAAAGGGCACATTTTACATACGGTTCAGTCAGCTCCTGTAAAGAGCCTTCCTGGAAGTCTCATCTACTGACTTCCTGCTGCAAAGGACGCTGAGAAAAGTTGTTTAACCTGGCACACTGCCAGCCCATGTATGGGGGTGCTGTCAGTAAGGAAGGAGAACATGCATACTGAGTAGCTAATTAGCACTTTGTGCCTTGCCCTACCCCTCCACGGAATTGTGCCAGCCTCCAAGTCATTGTTAACCACATGAGTTTATTATTACTCGAATTATGTTATAGTCATTTGTTTACCTTTTGCTGGTGTGTTTATCTTTTCCATGCTATAAATGTCAACAACTATGTTTTTCTGTGTCTGCGTCTTCATAGTTACTCCTCAATAAATATTTGTTAAACAAAATCACCTGGATAAGTTGATGGAGAAAAAGGAGCAGTACTGTGACTCCTAAGATATGAATCTTAGGGATAGGTAGAGTTCAATGGTGTCATTGTTGGGGTCAAATATACTTTAGTTGGCTGATAACCTCTTAAAAAGTAATAGAGTTACATTTTAGTATGCTGAGATTTGTTTGGTAGACTGCAGTGCAAGTAGCCACTTCTTTTCAAAGTATGACTTTAAACCAGGAAAAATGAAAGTAATATCAGCAAAGTTTAGTTTCCTTTATGGAAGCATTTTCAGAGACCAAACAATCTTATGATCCATGTCTTTGCTCAGATATTTTCAGTGTCCTTTTTAAATTGCTCTCAATTTTATTAGTTTCATTAGTTGGGATAGACATCCTTCTTTGATACATAAGCTCATTTTGAAAGTTCTTCTAAAACAGGATTTATAGATGTGCCTTCAGCAAAAGGGACATTTTTAAAAAATATTAAAATTCACTGTGATGTATATGTTTTGAAGGCCTTAAATAAAAAATATCTTCCCCTTAATAATTATACATTACATAGACATTGTTTGCTTTTCTAAATTCCTTTATTTTTAGAAAGGTTCCTTTTAAACTATAATAAAACATTTGTTAAACGATATTGGACCTTGCTCTGGCCGATGCGGCTTGGTTGGGGGTCATCTCACAAACTGAGAGGTCACAGGTTTGATTCCTGGTTGGGGCATATTGCCTGGGTTGTGGGTTTTGTCTCCAGTCAGGGCGCATGCAAGAGGCAATCGGTGGATGTTTCTCTCTCGCATTGATGTTTCTTGTCCTCTTTGTCCTGTTCTTCCGCTCTCTCTGGAATCAATAGAAGAAAAAAATTTTTTTAAGTTATTGGACCTTACTATACAAAGTAAAGACAATACTGAATATCCAGTTAACTCACTCCCAAGAAAATGTTAGTTTATTATTTATTATTATTATTATTGTTATTTTACCCTCATCCAAGGACATGCTTATTAATTTTTAGAGAGGGGTGGGAAACATAGGTGTGGAAGAGAAACATCAATCTCTTGCCTCTTGTGTGCTCCAGGATGGGGAACCCGAAACCCGGGAATGCGCCCCTACTGGGAATCAAACCTGTGACCTTTTAGTCTATGGGATGATGTTCCAACCAGTTGAGCCACACTGGCCAGGGTCTATTTTATTGTTTTTGTAAAGTAAAAAATATTAGCTGCAACCAGGGCTGCTGCGGGTAGGTGAGGTTCTAAATCATTCTGTACCCTCAGAGCCTGGCACAATATATTATTTGAATGGTGCATGAAAGGACAAAGAAGACTATTTTGAGGTGATCTAACACAGTATTTTTACAAACTTCAATCATTTGCATTCCACCTTTAAGGTTTTACAATATTTCCATAGCACCTGTACATGTATTTACCAAGTAAATTTTTAAATGAAGTTTATTTAAGGGGCAAATTTACAGATTTGACATTACTTACATAAATGAAAACTAGCATTACTTATCACAAATACAAATTATTAAAATGTTAACACCAATTATACATCCTCCTGGAATGTTTGTGCTTTGTGTGCCGCACTGTATTGCCGGTGTGGCTTATGGTATTTGAACACTTTATGCTTGAGGCCAGGAAATTTACTTTATTAGTCTCACAAGTAATTGCAATCAAACAAGGGAATCATTGACTTGTACAATAGGGAGGTCACTAAATGCGTTTACCATCTCAAATTAGTTCTACTACCCAAAATAATCAACAGTAAACATCCAAGTGAAAGTTTTTATAAACATTAAAGGGAAGTTAAGTTCAGGTAACATTTAACATTTGAGAGCTTAGAATGCTATGTACTTGAAAGGTGAGTAGATGGGACATAGTGTAAGTGCAAAACTACAGTACTTTTTATTCATAGATCATTCACCCAGTAGACAGTGCTACTTGCACTGATTAAATTCTACATAGTGAGCAAGTATAACTTTCATTGAGCAAATATTTATAGACCTCCAGCTATGAGCAGGTACTGGTGCCAGGTGGGCAGTAATGACACAGGTAGGGAAAGAATATAAGCAAACTAGTAAATAAAGATTACTTTAGATATTCCTAAGTGCTGTGAAGGTTATAAACATGGTGGAGAGAGGGAAAAGAAGGAGTGACTAGGGGAAGCCATTAAGAGTGTAGTTAGGATGGATGTAGTCTCAGGAGGGGACCGTGGAGGGGGTACTCGGAAAATGAGAAAGAGCCAGCCCTGGGAAAAGCTTAAAGAGGGACGTCCGGTCGTCCTCGGCACACTGCCTGCTCCCAGGCCGTCCAGTTTTCTTTTTCTCTGCTTCCGGGCCCTGTGTCGCAACCATGCTCTGTCAGATCATCAGTCAGGCCAAGAAGCATCCAAGCTTGAGCCCCTTCTTTGTGTTTATTGGAACTGGAGGTCCTGGGGCAGTGCTGTCTGTCATGCGCTTGGCATTGTTCAATTCAGATGTCTGTTAGGACAAAAAAATAACCCAGAACCCTGGAACAAGCTGGGTCCCAATGAGCAATGTAAGTTCTACTCTGTGAATGTCGATTACAGCAGACTGAAGAGAGAAGGTCTGGAGTTCTAAATGAAATGTTTCACTATAAAGCTGCTTGGAATGAAGGTCTTCCAGAAGTCATCCACACAACTTTCCACTTAACCAGGAAATATTTCCCCTGCAAATGCACGAGATCATGTTGGTGTGTCCTGTTGGGGTTTGCACTGATTAATGTTTGGAAATTAAAAAGAAAAGAAGACCTTAGAGAAAAACGTTTCAAGTAGATGATTTCAAATGCAAAGTCTGAGGTGGAAAAGGGCTTGACGGAGTGAACCAGGAAAATGGCCAGCGTGGTTGAAGTACAGTGAGAAAGGAGGAGCGTGTGAGAGGAAGCAGGCAGGAGCCAGCACACGCAGGGCCTTGCAAGTCAGTGGAGCAGTGTGATTTTTATTCTAAAAGCAATGAGAGGCCAGTGAAGGATTCTGAACAGAGGAGTGAAATACACCTTAGGAGAGATTGATGGATGCCTTTGCTTAAACATATTTTATGGTAATTTTAAGTAAGCATGTAATATTTTGACAGATTTTAAGATATAACAATTTAGTCAATAATCATGTTTGATTTTGCCCTTCAGTGTTTTACTATAGCATGATATTTTATTACATTATTTTTCATTGACTATTTTGTTTACTTTTAAAACCAGTAGTAAACTTTTTATTCCTATGACCTGCACTGTACTTATAACTTCATTTAAGAAAAGAGACTGGACTGAGTAAATAACAAAGGAAGAACTTTGTGGAATTAGGGTTGACTAGAACAAACTAAAGATTTATTTTGGTAGTGTTGTAGAGAAATTTGACTAACAGAAAAAAAAATCTTCTGTTACAATGATTTCCTTCTAGAATCCTGATACTCATAATCATTATACACTTATTTGTGTTCCTCAGCCAGATGTCACTGTCATTAGGCTATGTTAGATTGCAATACCTAATAAAGTTGATTTATGTATACGCTGATAAAATTTGAACTTTTAGTTAATGCGTGACTGATTTTAGCAGTCTGTTACAGTGCCTAATACCCTTGAACCTGCTTCTTTTTTATATCCTGGCATATTCCTGAGACGATTTTATTTCAGGCCAACATTTTACCTATAAATTTGAGAATTCTTCATCCTCTACCCTAATTAAAGAAATGTATTATGCAAGTTTGACCTTTTGATTTGTCTCCTGTCCTTACTGTCTTTTAGGAAGATGATTAGATGTAGTTTATGTGCTAAGGACTCAAGTTATTTGATTCAGCCTAAAGATAGACCAAATTTTCATCTAGTTTAAATATAATTCAGAGATGGAAAGAATCATTATCATGCCTTGTCAGAGAAATACTTTACCATCATGGTTCCTTTTTCATCCCCAATATACCCTTCTTATTCACTATTACCTGATCTTTTCATGGATAGAAATTTATCTCTTATTGCCATGGATTTCAGCTTAGAACCTTCTAGACTGAGTGCTCATTCCAAAAGGGTAAGTTAGACATCTAAATATTAGAATTTGACTGTATTAGGAACCATAAATCATGTAGAAACTTTTCAAAAGCTATATGCCTTTAGTTCAGTTTGGGTCCATTTGCGACACATGAAAATTTGAGTATTAGAACACTTGGAGAGTCAAAAGAGAATAAAGAATTACAACTGTATGCAAAAATGTTAAAGAATGAGGATTTTTTGTTTCATGCATAGGAGCCAAGTGTGACTTACGTATCTTTATGATCATGAATATCTTAAATAATACTGAGAGAATTTCCTTGGTCCCTGAAGAGGTCAGAAAAATGATGATAATTTTAAACTTAAAGCACTGATGATCTGGGGTTATAGGGTATGATTTTAGAGTTAAAGGAAACTTTTGTGGCTAGCATTTATTGACATTAAGTGGGCAACAAATCAATAATCAGACTCTGTGGTCAGCTTTGTGTTAGGAATCTGTGGTCAATGGAAAATCTCAGTTGGATCAGTGCCCGCTTTCTGCCGTAAATCAATCTCAAGGGGTCAGGTATGTGTGCAGGGGTTGGGTAACTTAGGGCCTTGATTTGTCTGTAACCTGTGAGGCCATTATGGTGATCAGCTAGAATAGATACTTTAACCATTCAGAATCATGTACATGGAGGGAATGCACTTTATAGATTACAGTCAAGTTCAATTAAGCTTTTGCTGTGGCTGTTTAATACTGTTTAAGTATCCTGGTGCTTTGTAGCTTAGGTTAAATATTGTGTTTCACTTATCTTCCAACTTCTAACCTGATTTAATGTAACAATGGTGAATCTAAGAATTAATTCCCATTGACTAATAATTGCTTATACTATTAATCAGTTCGTAATCTCTCTTACATATCAGGAGGTGGGAATGATTGTAAGTGTCTTACAAAGCTGCCCACAACACTGTGGTTAAGACTTTTCTCTGTGTGTTTATTTTAGTTATGAATTTGTTTTTTAGAGTTATTAATTCTTTGGGTTACACTGTTTTTAAGCTATGTAGTAGAGGAAATTCTCATTATTTCCGATGTTTTCAGGTGTAATAAACCTTATCAGTACTGTCTTTAATATAAGAAAGCAATTTTTCACTACAGGGTGGAGTTGGGGTGTGATGATGTCTTCATCTTACTGTAACCCCACTCTCCAACTGAGATTCTAGTAAATTCGACATACCTACTACAGGCCACACTATACTCTCCTGTCTTTTTCTGTAAGGATACTGTTTGTCTTCCTGTCTCTTTACATTAATTATTACTCCTTTTTCTGTCTATTTGAATACAGTCCATTCTTCACTAACACATTCATGCTTCCTTTATGTCTATACTACCCAATGTTATATTTTTTTCTTTTAAGTGCTACTTCTGACCCTTTTTCAACTGTTGCTTATTTGTTACATCTAAGGCATAGATATACTTTAAACCTTTATTATATTAAAAATTGTATATAAATCTTAATTTGTTAGCTAAATTCTAATTACTTTGAAGGCAGAAATTCTCTCATACTTTGTGTATCCTTCATGTAACCCAGCGCCAAGCACGTAGTAAGAACTTAATATTTATTAGAAGTGTAATAGTAGATAAGAAGGGTGGTGGAGTATGTTCAGTACATTAAGTTGTCTTGAAATTCAAATGTGAGTATTTTTCTGATTTCCCTTGAGATTAAATTTTGACAATGTAAAATATATTCTTGAATAACTGAGGTCTGTGTTCATACTTAATTTTTGGAAGGGAGGGTCCTTTAAAGGATGCTCAGTTACCTGCAGGTTCTTTGAATAGGAGCAAATGTCCATAATGTGTGACCCTGTAGGATTTTAAATATTGTAATTACAACTCTTGCCAAGCTCTGAAAAATAACTTTTGTGTGAAGATGGAGGGAAATTGGGCTTTAAATTATTGAAAAATCACAAACCAACATCCTAATTGTTTCTGTTAATATATAAAATATAAGTAATAAGACAATATTCCTATATTTTCTATTTGAATTATATTACTCTGAGTTAAAAGAGAAACAATTGGGTTATGCATATACAAGTTTAGAGGGCAATGTTAGGTATAAATGGTGAAGCACAAGTTACTACAGTTAGATCAGAGTTAAACTGCATTTCCATAATGCATTAGCTATTGACTTTGGGCATGCCACTCAACAGCTGTGAGACTTAGTTTCTTTTTATGAAATGGAAACAGTAATAACCTATCTCAAAAGATTAGAGGGAAGGCTAGAAAAGATAGACCATCTAAGGCACCAAGTACATTACTTGGCATCTAGAGCACATGTTACCTTTTGCTACTTTTCTCTCCATCCCTTATTTTAGATACATATTATTTCATTGAAATTCTTATTTAAATTTTTTGCTCTTGTAATGTATCATAGACATTTTGATATTTTTAAGAAAGTGATTCTTAATTACAACAGATTCTGTGCAAAATTAGAGTTTGAAAAAAGATGTCAGTAATATAACATGAATTTTTTCAAAGATTTCATGATTTTTTTGTTTCACTTCAAAACTTAAAACATTCATTTTTTGCCATGCTGCAACATATTTCTTGGTTTATTAAAGTCATTTTTCCTTTAAAAAGAGTAAATTAAAAAATTTTTAATATTAAGCTTAAAAATTAAGACTTCTTGCTAGTTTGAGGTGTCATCATTTTCTGAAATCAGTCAGAAGGGTCTCTAGGTGAATGAGAACATAAAATTTGCTACCTTTACAAGGGCAGTAGTTTTACAGTCAAATCATTTTAACTAGGCTCTTTGGGGAATGGAGTTTTCTGGCTAAACAACCCTTTTGTTTCAGCTCTTTACATAAATGTTTACAAGTATAATGGTCCACTTTCCTGCCTCAGAGAAATGTTCATATAGAATAGAGTAGCTTCTTTGTTTGTGGACTGAGGGTCTTTCATTACTCTTCTAAGTAACTGTGATTGTGGTGTGGCAGTGTGGATGGCCTTGTTATAAGTAGAGCGAGGTTAGGCTCACACTAATCCAGGGCATACTACGAAAACTTACCAGCCTTTTTCTGTGCCTCACCTCCTCCTCCAAATCCCTAATGTCAGCTTTGCTTTAGTCTTTCTATCCCATTTTTTTCAAACATTTTCTAACAAATTGCAATTTTGTTTTCTTAAAACTTAAAATGTATTAAAGGGGACTTCAGAGATTATTTAGCCAGCATCTTCATTTTATAAATTAAAAACCTGAGGTGTACGTTAATTGATCTGCTCGAAGATATAAAACAGATTTACTAACAGAAACAAAGATGTAGATTTCTTCATTACACTGACACTTTAATAGTGTCCCAAATTTTGGTGGTTATCTTTGATTTTCTTTGAAACAGGTAGATCGACACTTGAGAAAGCTGGATCAGGAACTGGCTAAGTTTAAAATGGAGCTGGAAGCTGATAATGCTGGAATTACAGAAATATTAGAGAGGCGTAAGTAAAATTTATAGTTTTCCATTAATGTTGGATAGTATGTGTGCAATCACTGAGACCCACAGGGACTTGCTTCTCAGATCCTGCGCTTCGCTCAGTGATGGCAACCGGGTCAAAGAGCTGGGAACCTTGGCAGCTGGAACCGTTTGGGTCATAGAAACTGAGCGAGATCAATAAGATATTCATTCACCCACTATGAAAATTACATATTAAGTCATTTCATTTTTTAAATATGCCTATATGCTAGAAAGATGAGTGATAAGAACAAAGATTTAAAGAAAAATAACCATCTAAAAACAAATCAGCCTTCTGTCGTTAAGTGTATTGACTTTGTCCTGTTTATGCTTTGTATAAATAGTAAACTTTGAGAAAAGTTATTATTTCTTCTTAAGAACTGTCTTAAGGCTTTTGCTCAACTGTGTTACTAAGGAAGATTTTAATGGGTTCTACAGTACTTTTTTTCTCAAAAAAGTCTTTCTGAACTTTCTTATATCAGCAGGAAGCCATTTTAATAGTATTTCTTTGACAGGCTCAATTTGATCCCTTGCTATAGTTTACCCATATCAATTCTTAGATTTAACTAAGAAGCCTTCCCCAAAATGGAGATATGAGCTTTGTTTAACTAATTTAGCACTTCCAACCTAAATATGTAATGCTCATAAAGTATATAGTGTGGTGCTAAACGCAGAGTAAGCATTAGCTCACTGTTAGTGAACCAAGGTAGTGTTATGGTTGATTTCTACTAGAATTAGGTTAAAGAGCTCAAACGTCTTTTTTTTTCTTGGTGTATTTCAACAGCAAAAGCATGTACTTATTTCTACACACATATGAAAGATTTCTTTACAGTGTGAGGTTAATTTATCTCTGTTTGTGCTCTCACTGAAAGTCAACTAGAGAAGCTGCCAGGCACGAATCTATCTTGGTGTCCATAGTTGCATTTTGTATTCAAAAGTAGATCCATCACTTTATTTATTTTTTTTAAAGATTTTATTTATTTATTTTTAGAGAGAGGGGAAGAGAGGGAGAGAAACATCAATCCATTGCCTCTCACAGGCCCCTAACCAGGTACCCGCCTGCAACCCAGGCATGTGCCCTGACCAGGAATCAAACTGGCAACCTTTCGGTTTACCAGATGGCTCCCAACCTTCTGAGCCACACCAGTCAGGATGGATCCATCACTGTAGATGATCATCTAATATTCCAGGGAAACCCTATCAAAAGAAAAGATAATAAGTATTCTGAGACAAAATAAAATATCCTACAGATGCTTTGATTTTTTTTTTTTTTTTTTGAAATGCTGATAATAGCTGTAACAATGATTCGTGCCTATTCAGTACTGCAGGAAAGTTCATGAAGCATCCTCATAAGGACACTGACATATGAAACTAAATCAGATCCAGTATAAAAACTCTTCCACCCTATGCCCTGCCACAATTTCATCTCAAGGGATCAAAATAAACCCAAAACATTCTTTAAAAGTATTTTAACGCTTGGCGGTAGAGATTTTATGCTTCATTTTCCACAAGCAAAATCTCTAATTTCCTTTAGGAAGTTTTTACTATCTTACGTTATTTTAATAATCAAAGAATTTTCTTTCATGTGGTAATGCACCATTGCCTTATATTTTAGGATTTCCCATAGAAAAGTCTTCAATAAAACTAGGTTGAGTTTTTTAGCTCTTAGCAGTAATGGAGTTACCATTCATTCACTTATGTAATATCTACTGTTGTGAATTCCCTTATTAGACATTAGCATGTCTTGAACTGTTTTGTACTTAAGGTGAATATTGAGAAATGGGTTACTTATTATTTATAGAATGTATGGAATTGGCTCAGGGTGAAATTGGCAGTGGTGACCTAATCTGTTTAACTAAAATGATACAGGCATATGCATCAGAGTTTGCAAGTCCTCTTCTGAGTAAGGGTGCACAGTCCCTGTATTTGAATGACATGTAAAGGTCTGTGGTGACAGTCAATGGCAGTGAATCTCTGTGTCCCAACCCTTTTTTTCAGGATCTTTGGAATTAGATACTCCTTCACAGCCAGTGAACAATCACCATGCTCATTCACATACTCCAGTAGAAAGTAAGTTTGGTTTAGTTCAAATAAATTTTTAAATACAATTAAAAACATATTACCTATGTATTCTCTTTTATTAGATCTATACAACTTACTGAGAAATAAGTGTCTTTCTCTTCCTTTATTTTGTTAGATATATATTTTTCATTGCAATTAATTGGCAGACTTCTCTTCTTCACTTGGGAAAAGCATGTTTGATTTTGGGAACAGGGAATTTGTTTTACTCTGGAGTCCATATAGTGGAAGAATGTATGGTACTAATAGTATGTACTTCTTACGTACAAATACTGGTTCTCCCTGGGGAGTGTTAGAACTGAGCCAAACAATGAGCGACTTGATGGTGAGCTCTTTATGTTTTTCTCCAGTGCTTAGCCTACTGGTTTGGCATATAATAAAGTTTCATTTAATGACTAAATGAACAGTGAGCCGGTTGGGTTGATGACTCTCTGCATTTTTTTTGACAGATCAATTTGACATGAAAGAAGTGTTGATTAAAAACTTATCTAAATTGTAGATAATGTTTTCAAAACAGAATTTCCGTCATGCTCCATGTGAAACCGTGAATGCACCATGGGTTATCTTTAATACTTGGCTACTGAATTTTGTTTGTTTTTATAAAATGTCTGAGCATTCTGCTCTTGATAAAACCTGTGACACAGAGAGCTGTTTCTCCTGTCTTCTAAAAAAACATAGTGTTCTGTATTTTGTGAGGAACTCAGATTATAAATGTACCAGTTTATAACAAGATGGAAGTATTATAACTTGTCCGTAGTTCTCTCCAGTTTAAAAACACATGAATTTTTTATTTATATGCAGAAAGGAAGTATAATCCAACTTCTCACCATGCAACAACAGACCATATTCCTGAAAAAAAGTTTAAATCTGAAGCTCTTCTATCTACCCTAACATCAGATGCCTCTAAGGAAAATACATTAGGTAAGTTTATTTCTTAAATGTGACTAGTTGCTTTATTTGTTCATGTTAAGATAAGGAGAAATGAAAGCATTCAGGATTACTGAATCATATAGTGTCTGTGCCTGGTTAAAGTCTACATATGGGGAAAGAAGAAAAAGGAAAAACATGACATGAAAATTTTTAGTTAATAATCATATCTGTGGTGAGAAATAATGTATTTTAAATGCACTAACATGTTCTCCCTGACCATTTTTATTTCTTCTTTAATTCGACACAGGTTGTCGAAACAATAATTCTACGGCCTCTTCCAACAACGCTTACAATGTGAACTCCTCCCAACCTCTGGCATCCTACAATATTGGCTCGTTCTCGTCAGGAACTGGTGCCGGGGCAATCACCATGGCGGCAGCGCAAGCAGTCCAAGCTACAGCTCAGGTAAAAGGCAGAGGTTGTGCCCTGATTATTGGCAAACTCTAGTAGAAACAACTGGATGTGAACAGAGAGGGTTTTCTTAATTGTGTAGTTTCATTTTTAAATCATAGTTTTATGATATCCTACATTTTATTTAATGAAATGAATATGCAGAAATTACTTGATTGATTGTGAAAAGTAAAAATATAGACTCATACAATCTCATGCAGATTCCCTCTCACAAGAATTGCTCATGATGTCCATGTTCTTGACTATAATCCACAGCACCTGCTAGGACAACCTTTTGTTCTCTCTTGTTCCCTGGCTTTCTCTGCAGCCTCAGAACTTAGGTTGCCCTGAATTGATTCACTTCTACAGTTTGTCTGTATTCTACATTAAGTTACCAATCCTGTAATTACTTCATAACTATAAAACTGATTTTAATTCTTTACATAAAATAGCTTAAATATCAATGATGAAAATAATGATTTAAACAAAATAAAGTAGTATTGGTTAAACCAAAATAATGCTGTAAACAGTAACACTTGAAAAAGAAAATCTATGAATTTATGTATATTAATACTATGAACGAATGTCTGTTCAAGATGAAAGAAGGACGAAGAACATCAAGTTTAAAAGCCAGTTATGAAGCATTTAAAAATAATGACTTTCAGCTGGGAAAAGAATTTTCAATGCCCAGGGAAACAGCTGGCTATTCATCTTCTTCAGCACTCATGACTACATTAACACAGAATGCTGGTTCATCAGCAGCGGACTCCCGAAGTGGGAGAAAGAGCAAGTAAGTCTTACCTGAGAACTTACCTTCACCAAGTGTGGGAGCCTGGCTTGGCATCCCGCGGGGCTTTCTTATGTTAACAGACGCAGCCTGTGAGGGATCGGAATGCACTTTGGAGAGGTGCAGGACACAACATTGTCATCCACACTGCTGTACTTTGAAAGGGGGAAGTCTTTAAAAAGTGTTAGGAGTCTTTAATTTCTTTGGAGTCTTAAATTGGGTTTGTTAATAAATTTTACTTTCTTTTGTTTATTAGGATAAACCATTTTATGACCTTCTTCATTTGTAAACACTTTTTTTGGCATGTGTTTTAGGTAAATTAATACATAAAATACAAATTACATCCTGGAAATTTTTTGTTTTTAAATGAGATTCTTCATTTTGATTAAGAACAAGCTGTCTTAATTCTTGGTCTTATGTCCCCAAAATTGAAATCATGAAATGATCCCTAGACTTTGTATATGACACTCTAAGGATAAGTACCTGCATATGCTAGGTGTCCATACATAAAGAAATTTCAAATGTTAGACCAAAAAAATTAGATACCTAATAATTGTGTTATAATTTTTTTACTGTTTTCTATTTTTGTGAGTAAATCCCTAAAAAAATGATCAATGTAGAATTACCACAAAAGTGCAAAGTAATTAAAAAATTAATTCATATTAATGACCCAAATTTATTATAACTGCTGGGAATAATTTTTTTACTTGTAATATTTAATTAGCATACAGATAATGGTAAATTGCTTCTGAGTTTTAAAATTCTTGATTTCCTGTCCTACACAGGTAAGTATTCACATATCGCTTGGTGATCATGATTACGTTCACCAAATGCTTTTGTATACGTATTTGTATTTTAGATTTTGATGAAGAGTATTCAGTTTGCTTAAAAATACAAAGAATATCTACAAGATAACCATAACTAATACTAATTCTTAAAGCTGTTACCTACAATTTATGTCAGTAGTAAATAGTACCTGATTAAAAAATTATTTTAAAAACTTTGAAATACTTTGAAAAAATTTCTTTTTAAATACCTTTATTCTCCAGACTACAAAAGTAAGTCATTTAGAAAAATGTTGCTTTATTGTTCTAAATGACTGTACTTTTAAACCTCTTTATCAGATTGTTTTAATTTGGTCTTAAACATTAATTTATACAATTGATTTCATTTCATTCCACTTTTATTTAGGAGTTATTCTCAGGTAACTTCTGGATGCTGAGCAAGTAAAACTGATACTATTTTTTTTTCAGAAACAACAAATCTTCAAGCCAGCAGTCATCATCCTCCTCCTCTTCCTCTTCCTTGTCATCATGTTCTTCATCTTCAACCGTTGTACAAGAGATCTCTCAACAAACAACAGTAGTACCGGAATCTGATTCAAACAGTCAGGTTGATTGGACTTATGACCCAAATGAACCACGATATTGCATTTGTAATCAGGTAAAAGTCTGGCATATGTCTGTAAAAGTATAATCTGAATAAACTAGGAAAAAGAGAACAATTTTATTTTTTCAAGTGCTATATTTACTCCAGTTAAAATACCCTTCCTTTTTGTAAGTTTCTCCTGCTTCTTATAAAAATGATGTTTGTTATAAATACAAAGAGTATAAAGCTACACATAAGTCATCCATTACCTCAGCCCTCAGCTATAACATGTAATTAAACATTTTGGTGTACCACTACTGTATATCCCAAGTGCATATTACCGTAGTCTGCTCATATTGCCATAGTACTATACCACAGACTGGGTGGTTCCAAGAACAGAAATTTATTTTCTCACAGTTCGAGGGTCTGGGTAGTCCAAGATCAAGGTGCTGACTGATTCCATTCCTGAGTTAAGAAAGGAAAATCAAGTAAATATGTTGGCGATAAAAGTAGGTAACTTACAAATGAGCAAAATCAGATTCACCAACGATTTCCCTCCATAAAATCTAGCATTTGTTCAACTATGTGTGTAGAGCTTTGAGGGAGAAATCAGACTGTCCTCCAAAAAGCTATTGCCCATAGAAATTATTTGTTCGTGTGCTGAGAATAGAAAGTATGCCATATCGTTAACCCTTTCTGGGATATTATTAAGTCCATTGAGAACGTCAGTGAATTCAGGAATTGGGAAGTTGTGCTATAAAGTGCTAGTAATGAATAGCAAAAAGACAATGAGGAATGATATACGTATAATAGGTAATAAGTTTAGAAGTTTAAATGAAATGGAGCATTGACTGCTAAAATATAAATGACCTAACATGACACAGAAAAAAATAAAAACCTAAGTAGGTAAATAGCCAGAGAGGAAACCTAAAATCTTTACATAAGGAACCACCCACAAAGGTGATTTACAGAGCAAGTTCTTTCAGACTTTCAAAGAGGATGTAATTTCTATGTATCTCCCCCATGCCCCTGTAAAGTCTTTTAGAAAAAATATATAAACTGTATAAATCTATATACCCTGTTTCTTAATACAATTGTATATTCAGTGTATTTCTCTAACAGTATCATAAACAATTAATTTGGATTTAGGTGCTTGTCATATAGTCATAATAAGAATATTTAAATTTTTTTAACTAGGTATCCTATGGCGAGATGGTGGGCTGTGATAACCAAGATGTAAGTATTAAATTTTTCTATTTAAGAATGAAAAACATCACATATTATTCACTTGAATATTTTCATTTACTGTGCCTCTTAGTCTAAGAAAACAGATATGTTAATTATGTCATACTAATGCAGAATTTTCTTCTCTAAAATAGAATAGTGTCCCATAATTCATTCCCTGTGTTAACTTTTAAAACTAGTTTTAGGGTTTTATGCACACTATATTTCTCAAAAAGTGTTACAGTGTATGAAAATTAGAAGTACCCCTTCCCCCTTTGCTAAAGAATATTGTGTTTACTAGAATCTACTTCACTCACCACAGTGAAGAATTAGAACCCCAAACAATACATTCTTTCGAGAAGCACGATGCTCAGGTGAAGTGTGGGAATGCTGAGGATATAATATGAGATGGTTTTCCTCCCATTAGTGTGGTATTTCCTATTGTAGACTGTAGGTGTCAGCTAAGGAAAGCCACTTCTGATAAAAAAATAAAGGATATTTGACATTGCTCTCTCTTTTGGAAGCTTAATTTTTGTTAGAGATACACTTCTATTGAATACTGAGAACGTGTGGTTTAGTAATTTTCACTCCCTATTTTCATGTAGCTCTTTTGTTCATCTTTTACTCCAGAGGACGTAACAACTCTGAACTCTATAGAAATCCTACTCTGTAAAGTCAGGATCCTAAGGCTAACACTAAGAGACTCAAATTTTTAAACAATGTGAACACTGAGCGGTGTTAGCTTGGTACATTAAAATTTGGGCTTCTTCTGACCTGACAGCCCCAACAACCTGTTCACATAGAGAAAGACAGACCCTCTATCTACTTCCTTTTTAAGAATTGCTTATGGGCTATTTGTGATTATTGCAAAAACAGTATTACCCACACATTTCAAGAACAGCATTGGTAACTGTCTTCTGGGCAGTTAGTGAAAATGACAAGTGAGATTTTTGTGAATACCCCATCATACCCTGATCTCTCTCATTCCCAGTTACACTCTTCTGAATGCTAAGATTCTCTGTGGAAGTGTAGAACTGCCTAATATTTTGCTGAGTAGAATGCTTTTCCTCTACATATCTAGGTGGATACAAAAGGAAAGCCAGAGCATTCCTCTATGTCTTTAGTTACAAGTAGCTTACTCCACTCTATGTGGTAAAGAATACAGCTGAATATTAAACAAGATCTTTAAAATACCTTTCCTTTCTATGTAAGAGATCCATCTCACTTCTTCTTGTCTTTGAAAGTTGGTTTTGCCCTGACTGGTGTGGCTCAGTGGATTGAGCGCTGGCCTGCGAACAACCAAAAAGTCGCTGGTTTGATTCCCAATCAGGGCACATGCCTGGGTTGTGGGCCAGGTCTCCATGTGGGGGCGTGTGATTGGTGTTTCTCTCTCTTTTTCTCCCTCCCTTCTCCTTTCTCTAAAAATAAATACATAAAATCTTTAAAAAAACAGTTGATATCAACTTACTCTCCAATTTTGTGAAAATGAAATTACTCTTCAAGTAATTTTAGAAGTAAAATTAGTAAATTTTAGTTATTTAGGATTGCGTGAATCTCAAAGTGAACAAAGAATGCATAATTTTTCTGTGCCTTCATTTCCTTTCCCTGAAGCTTATCAGTAGGACCATGTCATATGTATATCAGCTACTAGATCTAAACACTTTTTCTCCATTAACTAATATTCAGTCTGCTGGGCATAGGTTAATATACTCCCTAATCTTTAGGGGCACTAAAAACAATTTCTTCGCAATTTTACTTTCCAGTGCCCTATTGAATGGTTCCATTATGGATGTGTTGGATTGACAGAAGCACCAAAAGGAAAATGGTACTGTCCACAGTGTACTGCTGCAATGAAGAGAAGGGGCAGTCGGCACAAATAAAGGTTGTCATTTCATTTGAGAAAGAAAAAAACATCAACTCAACATTTTATATAGGACTTTAAAGAAGAAAAGAGAAAGAAGAAACAATGCATTTCTAGGCAACCACTTAAAGGATTTACATAGACAATCCTGTAAGATCTTGAATTTGAATTTTATGGGTTGTATTTTAATAATGTAAGTAAATTATTTATGCACTCCTGGTGTGCTATGAATATTATTCCAGTTAGCCTTGGATTATTTCAGTGGCCAACATATGCAGACATTTGTATTCCTCAGCCATTTTCTCAAAGTAATGGGCATTCTATAATTTAGATTTCAAACGATTCCAACGATGAAGATTTTAAGAAAAGTATTTTATATTCAACAGGTATGTTCTGCTGCATGTACTGTACTCCAGAGCTGTTATGTAACACTGTATATAAATGGTTGCAAAAAAAAAGTTAGTGCTTCTAAGAAGAATTTAAGATAATGGTTTTTTAAATGCCTTTATAATAAGCTTTGTTTCTTTGTGAAACTACATTCAGCAGGCTGAAGGAAATGGTTCATGTGATAAAGTGAGCTGGTGTCCTCTAGAGTACCTGGGTACATAAACAGAAACTCCTGTAGGTAAAAACTAACCTGTGCCATTAGTCTTTATATGTTTCTGCATCCAGACAGAGTGCAGTTCAGGAGGGTGGGACGGGAGGGGCTGAAGGGGAAAGGGTGTTAAAGTGATACATTTTTATACCAAATGTGTTTATTTTTTTGTGCGAGTAATCCTTAAAATTGGAATTGTATTAGGTGTTAAAATAAAGTTTTTAAAAAATTACTTGTATTTATAATTTAAATGCTTAATAATGAAAATTTCTTAATTCCAGTTAGATTCCAATTTTCATAATGTAAAAAAAGGACAGAGACCCAGTACACAGAAAGCTGTGTAATCTGTGATTTCTTTAACAATGCTTGAAATTTGTGAGTGAAAATAAGGGAAAGACGTTTTTAATGTAAATTTGAAATGCAAATGTATTTTTTTAGAGCATTCTCTGGCTTTTCCTTCAGTTGGAAAGACATGAAATAAGTCTAATTATGGCATATAAAATGAAAATAACAGTTATAGATGTTTTGACTTGAGGCACTGTGGCCAATTTAAGTAAAGAGACCCCCTGGATTGGAACTTAAACTTCAGGTCTATTTTTTATTTTACTATATATTGGTATGACATTTAATTCAAATTTTGAATCACTCTGGGACTTATTAAACCAGGGTGATGCTAGCAAAGGAAGTCTCTAAAGCACTTGTAAGGTTTTATTCTATAGGTGCTATTTAAATTATAAATTTTGCATACTATAAAGTCTGGTTGGTAGAAAAATCCTTAAAGCTTTTAAATACATTATTATTATTTTTTTTTTGTATCAAAACTTACTGGGTCCATCAGATTTTTGCTTTAATGAAAACTACTTACGAGCCTCTCAGAACTTATTCAGAAAACTGTGAAGTCTATGCAATGCTACCCAAAGGTTATGGGTTAGGGGATTTCAAAGGCCTCTTCCAGCTTCATCATTCCACATTCTGAGCCGCTGCAGTCTGATTTTATAACTGGACAACCCATAAAGCTAAGTTACGTTCATTTGTGGGTACTCATGATTTCATAGTATCATGAGTGTCATGATTTAGTGACACTCAGTATTTTCATGGAGATTTTATAAACCTGTAAGAAATAATATATAATGTAGTATTCAGTTAGCTTATCAGCATGTTGCCTGGAGATGCTTAGTGGTGTTGTTTAATGTTCTAATTATATATAATGATTTTTCCAAACTTATTTGTATTATAGGAATTGGTCAAAGGAAAAAGCCTTATATACAGCCTTATTTTAAGAGAAAGTTCCTTGTCAGAGTCAGGAACATCCCTGTTTTCAGCTGCTACAGCCTTTTTCAATATGTGAATTCCACTACTTACCAAAATCCTTCAGAAAACATTTCGACAAATCTTAAACTCAAACACTGAGTATTTTATGATGTGTGTATAAAGAAGTAAACCCAAACTTTGGACAATTATTTAATAATAGGTAGAGCCTGTTAATATTTCATATAGCCAGACATGGAACTACCTCATCAAAAAAAAAAAAAGAAAAAATGTGGCCAGCTATTACTACTCTTTGTGACATTTACACCAAGAGGTATAATGAGCATTTTTGGTATTATAAAATACCCATTCCAAATCTTTGTTGTACAAAACTCTTGTAACAATTGGTGGCACAAAACAATACAAATGTGGGTTCACAATTTTTAGGTGGTGATAAATTGAGGCCTTATTTATGTGGAGTGTATATTAAAATGTTCATGGTGACACACTTGAAGCAATAAATGGCTTAATTAAATGCCTAAATGAAGCTGAGTGTTTGATAAACATACAATTATTCTTTTTAAGGGCAGTTGATTTTTGTTCTCTTCTCCTTTAAAGCAAATTCCACATATTTTAGATTTTTAACAATCTTAGGCCTGTGCAACGTTAGTACCCTTTGTCCTTAGACCTCACAAGTGGTCTCTTGAGCTAATTAATTAATTAATTCAGTATTAAAAAATAGATAATATACTTGGTTTGGAAAAGGAAGGTAGTCTTTGAATGTGTAGACATTGTAGAATGTAGACATTAAACTCACATGTTTAAAATGAAATCTTTCAACAGATGGGCTTTAAAAGAAAGGGTATCCTCAAAAATGTTTATAATTCTACTAACATTAAGCACCTAAGGGTGGAGAATACAGAAATGAAGGTGTATGTGTGTATGTGTGTGTTCCTGTGGGAAGGACAGACATGTTAACTAACAATTAACAAAGTGTTTAACACATGCTAAAACATATGGGTATACAAAGCACTCTGGGAACACAGGGAGACTAGATATAGTAGGTTTCATTTGAACTGATTCCTAAAGACAGGTAAGTAGGGAAGGTTTTCAAGGCAGAAGAGATTGTTCAAGAGCCACATACATTCAGGGAATATAAATGTAGTCAGGAATGAGGGGACATGAGGTATAGAGATGTGGTGTCAGTGAACAAAGCCAGAAACTGAGCAAGAGTCTATTCATGAAGAATATATTGCACTGTAACATGGAATTGTTAATATAAATAGTGGTGACCTTTACATGTCAATTAAACACATTATTATTGTTAATATTTTAACAGTTTAATCAAACCAAAGCAGTTTTATTAAGATTACAAATAGGGTGACAAAGTTAATTAGTCTGTAACTTGGAAATTGTTTTAAAAATTCTAAATTTAAGGTAAATCTTTTCTCAATTTTTGAATGCTACAAATTAGAATTGCTAGTCAAGATTTTTAGGTTTCCTTATTTAGATAAGATCTAAATTACTCGGGTTGTAATTTCTGACCCAGGATCTTGATATTCATGATTTGATTCTGCTACAGAGAAAAGTACGTTAAAGTTTAAACTGATGAACTGACTTAAGGATTTTTTGTTGTTGCTATTTTAATCGAAGTTTGACATAAGAAAGAGGTATACCCCCTTATACCTCTTAGGTAGTAAGTCATGAATACTTTGTTATGTCAATATCTTAACTAATAAATTATCAGGGACTGTGATATTTTTAAATGTTTATTTGAAAGAAATTGATAAATTCTTCAGAGCCATATGATTCAGTTTTTAATTCAGAACCACTTTTTAGTTTCTTTACTGATGACAAAAGAGACAGTATAATCATTCATTTTTCCGCTGCTTATTAACAATTCAGAAGCCGATGTGGGAAGTGGGAATAAGGAATGTGCACGCTTGCGTGCATATTGCTTATTCTCATTCCCCATTTTCATTGGCCTCTGTTAATGAGGATGAATAGTTTTCCTGAGGAGAGTGTACATTGCTAGTCTCTCATAATGAACTAATTTAAAACATTCACAAGTTTAACATTACTTGTAGGGAAAAGCGATGGTCACATTCTAATTCTTTTTTCATTGTTAAATCTACCCCAGTGGAGAGACCCTCCATTTTGAAAATAAAAGCAATTATAATAGGTACTAAACTACTTTAAAAAAGCTTTCTAGATCACATGGAATAAATACAAGGAGGCAGCCCAAAATATTTCTAAGTAACTCTGATCATAAATATGAGTTGGTTCATTAGAATGACTATACTAATAACTAGTTAGAAGAAGGTTTCAGCATGACTTCCCCAGTATATCTCATTAGAATTTATCAAAATTTATGTTTGTATCCTTGAGGCATTTATGTATTTAATATGACAAATGACTATTTTCTTGATTGGGTTCCCAAATGTGTTTGTGATTTATAAATGTTTAAAAAAAAGAGTCCAGTGATCTTGTTGAAAACAAAAAACAATTAAGCTAATATATCAAAGATCATATGACTTAGATATAGAAGTAACATTCTGACTTTATGTGGTATACATGTCACCAAAGAACCATACTTTGTCAAAGACTATTCCTTATTGCCCAGGTTAGCTAAATGAGTGCCAGCCTTCATTAGAACGATAAGACAGAACCTCCTCACCTCCCATCCCCCATCACATACATTGATGTTTTGGGGAAATAAAATTGATGTTTTAACAATTTCAAAATAACCTTTTCTGAAAATAATGGATGATTGAATTGTGATTGTATTTAAAAAAGAAAGAAACAGGCTTAATTATGTGGCTTTCTTGAGACAATTTTTACCTGGCCAAATATCTCAGTTGGTTCAAGTGTTCTCTTGATACACTAAGGTTGTACATTTGCTCTCCAGTCAGGGCACATACAAGAAGCAACCAATGAATGCATCAATAAGTGGAACAAATAGATGTTTCTCTTCCTCTCTCTCTTCCTACCCCCCTTCCTCTCTCTCAAATCAATAAGTTTAAAAAAAAAGGTATTACTGTTCCTGGACTATTAGAGGTCTACAGACAAGAAAAATGAAATTTCTAATTGAGTAAAGGAGCATAATTGGATAGATACTATGATATGACAAAAGAAAGCTAAATTTGTTCATTTTATATATTGATTAATAAAAAACTTAGAAATTCTAAGGTAGAACTGTCCTAAAGAAAGTAAAACAATTCATTGGATTTAAGTGTTTGCCATTCCACCTGTGTGCTCACTGCTTGCAGGAAGTAGTTAATCATCTATTTGTTTATCTTTTAGAATGTATGTGTAAATACATATCTGTGTGTGTGTCATGTGTATAAGTATACATATAAATATATTTAGATATATGTATATATTGTCCTTTAGAGGATGCAACTCTTAAAAGAAAATTTGGGAGACTTAAAGGAGATTATATGCTCAAAGTTGCATTTGTTTTAGGGAGCACTATGATTACACATTAAGGAAATGGTTAAAACCCCAAGGTCATTGCCACAAACTACTCAAATGCACATTCTGATTTAAGTAAAAATCTTAACCACATACAAAAACTGCAAAAACAATTCCTTTGGTGAAATTTCAGTTTCCCAACGTCAGCACTATTGGCATTTTGTGCCTGATGATTCTCTGTGGGGGAGGTGCTTCCCTTGAACATGCACACTAGATGTCAACAGCACCTTCACCCTCAAGTTGTGACAAAGAAAACTGTCTAGACATTGCTAAATGTGTTTTGGGGAGCTGAATTGCCCCACTGGGTTAAACGTTACCAAGATGTGAAATACTTCCTGTGGGAAAAATGGGAATAAAATAGTATTTGAATTTA